AACATTTTCACATGTCTCCATTGATTTAACATCGTTTAATCTTAACAATGATCCCATAAGGTTATCAATTTTACAGATGAGAACACAGGTCAAGTCTGCTTTGTAGTTAGTGGCAAACCCACAGATGGTAGAACTCCAGATGGTCTGACTCCCTGGCAAAGGGGGTATATGCCAGACAAAGGGGCATAGTTTGCACATTTGGAGATGTTGTCTATATTTATAACGTACTGGTGTCTGCTAAAAATTATGTTTCTTGAGTGATTTTTTTTCCCACTGATAATTGCCTTTATTAAAACTATGTTTCTAATCACCTCTAAAACCTGCTTCCATAGTAACTAGGTCATTTTATACTCGTGCTGCCCTCTCACATTCTCATCTGTCACTTGGTATCCCTTACGATTTGCTTTTATTTTTCCTCCCCATTCTGACTCACTTCCACTGGTGAATCACTTCCTTATTCAACTCCTCTTTCACCTACTCCTAGATTCTGGAATTAACCTCTGACCTCATAATTTGAGGTGAGTTGAGCATATTCTACTGAAACCAGCTGGCCATGTTTTCATTTTGTTTGGGTTTGCATGGCTCCCTGGGCTGAACTGTGTGACTCAAGAACAGCCGCCTGAAGAGGATGCAGCAGGGAAATAGGTGCAGAAGTAGGAAAAGAAGGTGGGCACCTGGCATTTAATTTCAAACAAGAGTGAAGAAGGTAACTGGCCTAATTAGACCTGAACCAACAAGGAACGTGGTTGTGAGTTTTCTTGAATGGCTGCATTCTGGGGGTGAGACTTTGAAAGACCCATGATGTTGCCGCAGAATGGCACATGTGACACATCAGAGCTGAAGGCCAGCACACGGAATCTCACTTCATAAGGTCTATGTTCTTTTCCCCTGAAAAGAAGAAGCTACCTCCTGGAAACTAAATTCCCTCCTTCCCTAAATTCACTGGAAGTTTCCCAATTCACATATTGTCAATGACAATGGATTTGAATTGTTGTCTTTTTTCTAGACCGTAAGAAGATACTAAAGATGTTTGATGTCTTGAGAAGTCTGAGTACCTGGCATGTGTCCTCCCACCCAGTCAAGAGAGAGGAAGAGAGAGAATTTGTGCCCTAGCTAAGTTTACGCAGTAGCTGTTTAGTTCCTGAGCACAGCTGAGGTAGGGAGACCAGAGTGTCTTAGAGATTCCTACAAGGGCTCTTCTTTAACCCTAACCTCCAGGGCAGGAGGCTGCTTACCTACTGGGCCCATTTATTAAATCTGTGCTTGGAATTGCTGCTAGTTCTTGATGTAGACAGTTCTACAACATTGACTGAAAATACATCAACCACATCATAAATATTTACTAGTCAGGGGGCACCTGGATGGCGCAGTCGGTTGAGTGTCAATTTTGGCTCAAGTTGTGATCTCACAGTTTGTGAGTTCAAGCCGCACATCAGACTCACTGCTGTCAGCGCAGAGCTTCAGATCCTCTGTCCGCCTCTCTCTCTGCCCCTCCCCAACTCGCTAGAATGCGTACACACTCTCCTTCTCTAAAAAATAAATAAGCATTTAAAAAATATATTTACAAGCAGAATTAAAGGACCAGTTTTCTCCCCTTTCAATGACCAACTTAACACTGCTGTATTAAGAATCTACAGATATTCTCATAGGCTGCTGATGTTTGCATAAATCTGACACAGTTTCTGAGGGATAATTAGGCAGCAGTTTTCAAAATGTTCATGGCCTTTGCTTGTGTGGCTTAGCAGTTAAGCATCCAATTCTTGGTTCTACTCAGGTCAACATCATCTTGCGGCTTCATGAGTTTGAGCCCCACAAGGGTCTCTGTGCTGGCAGTGTGAAGCCTGCTTGGGATTCTCTCTCTCCCTCTCTCTCTCTGCCCGTCTCCTGCTCTCTCTCTCTCCCTCTGTCTCTGCCCCTCCCCCACTCGCACTTGTCTTTGTCTTTTTCAAAATGAATAAATAAACTTAAAAAAAATGTTCATGTCCTTTGACTCTGAATCCAATGTACAGGAAATCATCAAGATTTTGCCAAATGATTTGACTAGGAGATGTTCACTGTAACTTCCCAGTAAACAGGATAAGTTATCAATCATACATGAGACAAACTACTGTATAACTGTCAAAAATATATAAATGTGGCTGTGTGTCTTTAGACATAAAGGATTTTCATGAGTTCATTGAATAAAACAAGTTCACAACAGTAAATGCATATAAATATATACAAGAAAATGTATACTTATGCATGGAAGAAATACCTAGTAAGGATGGACCAAAATGATATTTATTTCTGGGTAGTGTGACAAACAGTAATTTCAATTAATAATGGATAATTTTATTTTTCTATCTTCTACAATGAACAGGTATTACTAATGAAAAAGCAAATGATTTCGCATTGAAACTGGCCTCTGGAGTGGGCAGATGGGACAAGAATCTGATGGGCTTGGATCAGCAGTATGCCACTTTCACTGATGTGTGTCGGTGTATCAGCAGTGAGACAAGGTGCTGATGGTACCCTGTTGATTCAGACAAAAGGATATGGGTACAGGAGACTCAAGAGTGGGTCCAGCTTGAGAACTTTGCAGACTGGTTCATATTTTTATTCTCTTTATCTAAAATGTTCCAATATTGTAGGATAATTATTTTTCTTTTTTGACTGGAGGTCAAATTTATTTTCTTTTGAGTTTTTTATTTATTTTAGAGAGAGAGAGGCATAGAATGTAAGCAGAGGAAGGGCAGATAGAGAGGGAGACACAGATTCTGAAACAAGCTCTAGGCTCTGAGCTGTCGGCACAGGGCCTGACATGGGGCTCGAACCCATGAATTGTGAGATCATGACCTGAGCCGAAGTCAGAGGCTCAACTGACTGAACCACTCATTTGCCCGGAGATCAAATTTATATTTAATTGTTTTATCAAATAATGATATATATATACAAAAGAATATTTACAAAATATATTTAAAGTGTAGAAAATCTTCATACACAGAAACTCAGAGTCCCAGAAATGGAACACTACCATTAACCCGATACAGATCCTCTATAAGTTCCTGCTGCCTTTTATACTTACCCTTTCTCAGAGAAAACCCTTGTCCTGAGTTAGTTTTATCATAGTCTTGCTTTTCTTTTCTGAGGAACATTTTATTTAGGTTTATATGTTTTTGGCCTTCATATGGGTGGGAGCATATTTTATTATTCCTTTGCAATTTGTGTTTTTCACTCAGTATCTTGTTTCTGAGTTTCATCCATGTATGTGTAGCTGTAGCTCAGTCATTTTACTGTTGTCATTTGTGGTGGTGTAAATGCACCAGGATTTACTTGCACATTCTCCTGTTTGTGGACTTTTGCATGACTCTCAGTTCTCGCTACCATAAAAGTTCTTATTAATGACCTCCGCCGCTCATATACGAGTGGCTCACATATATACGTACATTGGTGTGGAATTGCTAGATGGTAGGGTGTGTGAACTTACTAGATCATGTTAAATTATTTTTCAAGTCATTTATCTCTCTTTATACTCTTGCCAGCAATGTATGAGAGTTTCCATCCTCCACACAGTCATCAACATTCGATAATGTCAGACTTTGAACTTTGACTAAACCAGTGGGTGTGCATTGATTTCATTTGTATTTCCCTGAACTTCGATGAGGCCAAGCATGTTTTCTTGAGTTTATTAACCATTTGTGATTTCTCCCTATAGTGAATCTGTTTTGGGTCTTTGGCCCATATTTTTATTGTGTTATTACCATTTTTAAAACTGGTTTGTAGGAACTCTATTTATTCTGGAAATGCATCTTTTGCTAGTTACACATGTAGGAGACATCTTCTTCCAACTAGTGGCTTGTCTTTCAATTTTCTATATAGTGCACTTGATGAAGAGACATTCGTAATTTTATTCATCCTTCTTTTTCATGATTTGCTCTTTTTTGTGTCTTAAGAACTCCCTTCCTACCTAGAGGTTCATAAATCCTATTGTCTTCTAAAATGTTTGTAATTTAATCTCTGTGAATGGTGTGAAGGTATCCAATTTTATTTCTTCTACATGGATAACTATCTGTTCCAGGACAGTTTACTAAAAGGCCTTCCTTTCCGCACAGATGTAGAAATGTCCAAAATGAAGCTTCCGTGTCTGCGGGAGCTGATTTCCTGGATCCTCCAGAGAACATACAGATTTGCATGATCCAGATGCCAAGGGCCTCTACTGGGAATCGTCTTTATTTTTTGGATGATAAGGCATTTTTCTCACCTAACAAGTTAGAAGTTGTACTGTTCTGGGGATCATTCTGTGGCACAACAATGTCATCAAGAACCCAGGCACTTCCTTTTTCCCTCTGCCAGAATCAGTTTGTCTGCAATGTTTCCTCCCAGCTGCTGCTGCTCCTGGTTTTGTATCCACATATTTCCACATCCAGAGTGGGAAAAAGTTAACAATACTCTCTCATCTCGAGCTTCATTTGGACCACCCATGTAACGTGCATCCAAGTAGCCAGCTCACACACGGTCGCACTCAGGGTTATGCATGTCAGGGAGGCACTTTTGGCTGTCCCTTTAGTGCTGAGTGTCAAGGAAGGCTGTTGCCTTGTGGATTTCTGTGCAAGGGTATTTATTTCCAGTTCACCTACCTCTTGGGGTGCAGCCCTGAGGGCATGTGGATTTATATACAACTGTCACCTTAAACCCCTCTCGTTGGGTGGCCCTAGGAGCCACAGGGGACAGTGAAAGCCAAAGCTGGAATTCATCTGGGTGGCAAATGTGGAACTAATGAAAACTTCTTTTGTTTATACCTCTGGCTTCCCACTTTCGCTTAGTTTTTTGGCTTCTTTGTATTCTTTACTTTCTTGGCAGTTCATCACCCATTTAGAAAGCTTTTTTTTCCCCCCTGGAATTTTTAGTTGTTTTTCAGCAGGAGGGTCAGTGAAGGCATCTAGTTCTCCAGGCTGTGGAAACAGAAGTTGGCTAAATTTATTTTTTTAATTGCATTATGTTTTTATCAATCTTGCCTAAAGGGTTGTTGGAGACCGAACCATTGCAAGGGCGAGATGAAGATGCAGTAGCCAGTGCGGACTTCTCTAGCATGCTGTCTGAGGAGGAAAAAGAAGAGTTAAAGGCAGAATTAGTTCAGGTATGTTCAGTAATCTTATTATTGTTGTCTATCTCAGTATCTTAGGAGCTATTGTTAGTTTTGTCTAAGTCCCATATTATAATTATGTTGTCTTTCATTTAATAACATTAAAAAGCTTTTATTTTGAGAGAGAGAAGGTAGAGAGGATGCACATGAGCAGGAGAGGGGCAGAGAGAGAGAGAGAAGAGAGAGAATCTCAAGCAGACTCCATGATGTCAGTGCAGAGCCCGACATGGGGCTCGACGTCACGAACCATGAGATCATGACCTGAGCCAAAATCAAGAGTCAGGCGCTCAATCGACTGAGCCACCCAGGCGCCCCTCATTTAATAGCATTTAGTTACTGATATATGATGAGGTGATTAATTTTTTCTAAGGTGTTTTTGTAATGCCAGTTGTCCATTACACTTTGGTTATAGTAGAAAAAGGAATGGTTAAGCAGCAATGATGAGTAGTTGTAAATATGCACCTCTTATTCTTTTGCAGTTCACAATATTATGGGAACAGTAATCACTTACACACCTGACAGGTATGGGTGCAAGCTCCTTTTTAAGAGCAGCTCTTGCTTTAGATCAGCAACTTAGCTCAACAGATACTTTGAAGTGACTTGTTTTTGTAATGAAAAAGCCAGTCATGGAATCAACTGAATTTGCTGTGTACTCTTTAGCAGAAGAATAAAGCTCTGGGGGCAGAAAGGAAAGCTATGATGAATCCAAGTTTTCTTAGTTCGTGTGTAGTTGCTGTGGGCCTCTGGACTTAGAGGTGGGGAGGACGCCTGGCTCATTGGGGATACAAATTTTGTTCAAGCCATTTGTTTGCAGCACCCACTAACCCTTAAACACTTTGCTAAGGACCAGTTACATTGGAGGGGGAAAGCACTGGAAAAAGGGAGCTTCTCAGGTAAAATAAACAATAGGGCAAGAGGGAAGAGGCCCATATTCCTCCCCATTTTGTGTCCCTGGATCATAGGACAAAAAGCTCCTAGTTCAGCTGGAAGCAAGACTGTGGGCTCTAATACAGGCTTGAGGACACAGCTTTGAGCTCCACCTTACCCTCACCCAGCTGGGTCCACTCCAGATCTTTCGTGCTCTAATGTTCTGGTGGTGTTTGTTTATGACAGGTTATAATAATATTAAAAACTTTTTAGGTGCTTTCCCAAAGCACACTTGACAATAACTTCATTATAACATGAAAGAGCAGCTTGTTCTTGGGTACAGCAGAAATTATTTCAGTAAACACAGTGCCTCAAGTCAAACAGCCTGTTTCTTTAGCTAGGTCTGTCTGTGGCCACTGATCCAGAACAACGCAGTTGACTTCAGATTTGCCACACATGCCAGCACACACAAGGCATGCTGTAATGGAAAATGTACTAGCTCCATATTTTCTTAAAGCCCAGAATTCTGGTTCATGACCTGTTGGTTCATGTCGATTGCAGTGTCCAAATGTTATATTTTGCAAACTGGTATAAGGTAACTGATTCTAAACTAAAATAATTCCTTCACTGTTACAGTCCATGTCTAAGTTCAGACAAAACCTCTGCAGCAGACCAATTTTTATGAGAGTTCTGGGACTATCAGATTATACGTACATCTATATATCACTGTATTTTTGTGTGCGTTCTTTATTTTCTAAATTTTCAACAGTGAGCATGCATTATTTTTATAATCAAGAAAAAGTAAGTCTTGACTCTAAGTAGATGCCCCTGTAATACAACAAGCCAACAGTGTTTTCAGAAATTCCTGTGTCATTTGGCCACACTAATAAGCTTCTAGCACTTCTCATTCCTAAGACTCTTTGAGCCTGACTTCTGAAAATAACACCAGACTCCTTGTTACCATGCTCAAGTTACCAGGATTCATGTTTTCATCCTTTAGAAGGCTTCCTGGGTCTTATTTCTGGATTCTTCAGAAATGAAGAAGAACTTCATGTTGCCAGAGAGGCATCATGACTTCCAGAGGCACGTGGGTACAGCCCCAGGCCCAGTGACAAGCAAAGGAAATGTGTCTTCGCTGCTTTTTCTTTTCACATCTCCATTTCACTTCCCTCCACCTCAGACCACCTCTGCTTAATGCTCATCCATCCGTTCTTAAGTCTTCTTTCCCTGCCCTTCCGCAAATGTATCGTGGTGTGTATGTATGTGTGCACACACTTGGCTCCCGCACATGTGCGTGCACATTCACTCATCCACCCAACCCAAGCCAGGTTCTTTCAGATCACGTTCAGATGAGCTCATAGGCAAGGAGTTAATTATAACAAGGACACGCAGAGTGCAATCTCAGAAGCCCCACAACAGGCCCTCCGTTGACCTGAGACATCTTTTGGATGGCCCAGCTTCCCTACCTCAGACCTCCACAGACATTCTTCCTGGGCCCTGGTTGAAAGCAATCCTTCACTGTGCCTGAGGGAAAATCCTACTGGATCCATCCGCTACTTGGGTTAACAGGACACCTTGCAGATCAGCCTATTAGATTCCCTTTGAGTAAGGCATCTGTAGCCATGACCCAAAGCAAGAGCTTTGTGTAAAAGGACTTATATCTGACTCGGTTGCTTAAAAGGGGTCTTGGGGATGCCAGGGATCCAGTCTTCTTTTCAATGTGCTCCTCTCCCTAGTGTCCTCAGATTCTCTCAGTGTCATGTGACTATGCTGGATCCCTCCCCTGCTTTATCTGGCCCGTTTTGTTGTTTGTATTCCCATGAGGATGCCCTTATACTTCAGGCAAACTCAACTCCGCTCATCCACACAGCCAGCATATGGTTGTGTGCTTACCAAGTGCAGACAACAGAAAGATCCGTCCTTATGTCAGGAGACATAAAAGAAGCCAATATTGTCCAAAAGGCTACATCTTAGATGAAGTCTGCATTTTGAAAGAGGAATCTGTTGTTAACACAATTTAGTCTTTAGTTTATTGTTGTCATCACGCAATACATATGTGTGTTTTTAAGTTTCTTCATTGCGAGGCCACTGTCACCTCTGATCTGGTGCAGTGGTCTGTGTATAGAAGATATGCAATTAAAACCTGTAATTAACTTGAATGTTTTTAGGTTGAAGAAATACTTACACTTTTTAATATTAATTTATTTTTTAGTAACCTCAATACCCAAGGGGCTTGAACCCATGACTCCAAAAGAGCAAGAGTTGCATACTCTACCCACTGAGCCAGACAGACGCCCCAAATTATTTACATTTTTTAAAATGTTTATTTATTTTTGAGAGCAAGATAGAGCATGCAAGAGTCGGGGTGGGCAGAGAGAGAGGATGGACAGAAGTTCCGAAGCAACAGCAGTGGGCCTGACACAGGGCTTGAACTCTCTAACTATGAGACCATGACCTGAGCCTAAGTCATACGCTTAACCTACTGAGCCACCCAGGTGCCCCGATATTTATATTTTTTTAATGTTTTTATTTATTTCTGAGAGAGAGACACACACACAACATGAACAGGGGAGGGTCGGAAAGAGAGGGAGACACAGAATCTGAAGCAGGCTCCAGGCTCTGAGCTAGCTGTCAGCACAGGGCCCAACAAGGGGCTCGAACCCACAAACCGTGAGATCATGACCTGAGCTGAAGTTGGACGCTTAACTGACTGAGCCACCCAGGTGCCCCAACATTTTTAAATACCATAAGTTGAAGATGCTTTTTTTTACAAACCTCATCAACATATAAAGATTTGATATTTTGATTTGGCTATTTGTTCTCATTAGCTGCTCCTAACATCTTCTCTGAGGTCTTTACATTATCTATTGTGTAGGGTTTTTTTTTTTTCTTTCTCTCCCTTTTTGAATAAATGTGCTCAGTATTTCTGTGCTGCCTCCATCCTTCTCTACTTTCACCTCACTAAGCTGCGCGTTAGGCTTCGTATTTCATACTGTGACTTGGCTTTTGAAAGGGGTGGAGTGTTGGCATTAATACTGTAAATTTATGATCACAACGCCAGCAAGTACTGCCAATGTCCTCTAGATAAAAGGACTCAAGGCATCAATAGGAGTAGGAAAAACACCAGGCAACATTATCAAGTAGGCAAAGCCTACTTTCAAGGCAAAACCTGTTCAGGCTCCCTTCATCTCTTTGGGCTCTTCTCCCTTCCTTGGCTGTGTGGCTCCTCAAGTATACACAGTGCTCTCAAGCCATCTGGCTGGCAGACTCACAAAGAAGTGCCTTAGGCTCTTGGCCTTTCTCTCTTAGTTCCTTCCTTCAAGACCTTCATTCTTTCTACTTCATTCAGTCCACTACTGGACTGAGTAGTGAACAACTAAAGTATTCATCATCAGTAATGTCTTATTGTAATACTTTTCTGTATTAGTCAGAGTCCTCCAGGGAAACAGAGCCAATAGGATGTATACATGTATATGGAAAGAGATGTGTTACAAGGAATTGGCTGATGTGATTGTGGAGGCTGACAAGTCACAGGATCTACTGTCACCAAGCTAGAGACTGAGGGAAGCTGATGGTGTGGCTCCAGTCTCAAGGTTTGAGGCCTAACAAGAACTGATATTACAGTTTAAATCTGAAGGAGAAAACAAAAAACAAAACAAAACAAAACAAGAAACAAAAAACAGTGTACCAACTCAAATGCAGCCAGACAGAGAAAATATGTTAACTGAGGGAGGGTCAGCCTTTTTGTTTTATTTAGGCCTTCAACTGATTTGATGAGGCCCACCCACCTTGAGAAGGCAATCCCCTCTAGTCAGTTCTTCAGTTCAGTTGTTAATCTTATGCAGCAACACCCTCACAGGCACACGCAGCACAATGTATATCCAAATGTCTGGGCGACCCATGGCCCAGTCAAGCTGACATATTGCACTGTCAGCTTGTGACAGTGCATATGACAACCATTGCACTGTCTCAAGTAGTATCTGGATTTTAATTTTAATTCTTTAGAACTGTTAGCCAAAGGCAGGATTGGCCAGGAGAGGAGGCTGGCCTTGAAGTACTGTATGCAAGAGATCAGAAACTCTTATTCCTAAACATCATACTGACGATTTAATAGTTTATGAAAATAT